CTTTGAGGACTTACTCTGTAGCTCCCTGGAGCTTACCACTTCACCTGTGAACCAGGAAGAGAAAATAGGAGTTCTTCATGTTATGGTCTAGAAAAGCCTTTCTGAAGTTGCACGTAAGGTATCTTTTTCTCTCTGGGCCCAACCTGATGCTCACTAGCCTTCCAAAATTAAAATATTAAAGGGTACTGTGATGGTGGGGGGTCGGGGGGGCTTGTTTTCTTTTGTTTTGTTAATCCTCAACCAAGGATATTTTTCCATTGATTTTTAGAGAGAGTGGAAGGGAGGGAGAAAAAGGGAGAGAGGAAAAAAGAGAGAAACATCGATGTGAGAGAGATGCTTCAGTTGGTGGCCTCTGACAGGTACCTTGATCAGGCCAGGGTCAAACCGGCAACCCAGGTGCATGCCCTTGACTGGGAATTGAACTCAAAACCCTTTGGTGTGGGGCAAACAGTCTAACCCTTGAGTAACACTGGCCAGGACTGTGATGGTTTATCTTATGTCTCAACTTGGCTGGGCCACAGTGCCCAGATATGTGGTCAAACATTATTTTGGATTTTTCTTTAAGGGTGTTTTGGGGTGAGATTAATATTTAAATCACTGGGCTTTGAGTAAAGCAGATTGCCCTCCATAATATGAGTGGGTCTCATCCAATCAGTTGAAGGACTGAATAGAACAAAGGACTGACCTCCCTGGAAGAAGGGGGAATTCTGTCAGCAGGTGGCCTTTCAACTTGAACCACAACATCTCTTTCCTGGGTTTTCAGCCTGATAGCCTTCAAACTAGAACTACAGGTTTTGGACTAGCCAGGCTCCATAAGCATGTAAACCAATTCCTTCAACAAATAAATACAACATGGGATCACAGGGTCAAATGGGAGTTCCTCAAACAGAGTGTCAAACTGCATCGGGAAGGCCGGCGAGGGTTTGGGGGCGGGAGGTAGGAGGGTAAGAGACACAGCTTATGACTGTGTCTTGGATGTGTGAACTATCTACCCAAGAACTCTGGGTCACGTCTTCCATTTTGAATTCCTGCTATCACTCCTACCCCAGGACAGGGTTTCACAGAAGGGGAACAGGGAAAAGACATTCAGCACAGGTCAGATGAGGTGGGGTATATCAGTCAGAGCCCTAAAAGAAAAGGAATGTCACACTTAGAAGAGCTTATTAAAAAGATTCTTTAATAAATATATATATATTCGGCCACCGCAAACGCCCTCCTACCCCCTTGTCCACACCGCTCTGCAGAACAGCAGTGAGGCAAGGAAGCCTGCAGGAGCACCCAGGGCCTGGTGAGAACAAGCACCCAGCTAATGGAAAAACACAAGTTGATATCCAGTACCCTATTCTCCACCTGTCAGTTCCTCAACTGGTTCTTGTTTCTCCTCAGCCCCTTTTGATTCTAACACTTAGCACCAGCCTGAATCAAACTTTCCCAGAAAGATGAACCCTCTCAAAGTTCAAGAATCCCACACATCTCCACAGAAATGTATTGTCTATAAAATGCTTTGCCACATGTTATCACACCATTCTCCTGTACAGGAGCCATAATTCCTCGATGACAAATGAAAATCCTAAAGTTTTTTAGCATATGACAGTACACTGTCTTATGTATATGACAAAGCCAGAACTCAAAATGCAGGCTTCTTGGTTACCAACTCAGGGCAAGAAGAATTCCCAAGTCAAAGACAATTATCTGCTTTTCTGACTGTGAGCCGGCTCCCTGCTGGAAGGGAGAGCCAAAGTCCAACCTCAGTGAACAACCGGCTTCCTTTAACCAGGAGATCCTCTCAGAAATGTGGGATCCCATTGCTTGGACCTGAGCACAGAGACTGACAGGGGCCCATGTGGGGCTGGGGGAGTTCTTCCT